GTACACACTGGGCCTGTGGTTATTCAATTTAAATGTAGGAGTTTAAAAAAAGCACATCAAGCAGTATTTATTCTTATGAATATTAAGAGCCTGTAAGACTTCTGGGGTAATGCACTAAAATGACAGTCCAGTTAATTATCGGTGCATTGCGGTGAGAGCCCCGAAGAATCCCAGTATTTATGGAGCTGCTGCCAATGCCAGATGAAGTCACTCCGATTATCCTCGCCAGCTGTTTGTTTTGTTGAACCACAGTGATTTCTCCAAGTTACTGAAGTTGATGTCATTGGAAGTGATGTGACATTTTTGCACACATAGGATAAGTGTTAAAAAATGCTCCAGAAGAGCTTTTCCAGTCTTGTCTGGGAGCTGGCTGGGGAGTTGAATTAAACTGGCCTGATGGAACTTAATCCATAAAGCAAATGAGTCATCAGGCATAAATGGCTTTACCATAAATGTCAGACAGATTCTTACTGGTCCTGACAGTTAGCAATTACATCTGTTTGGTGGAGCAAATAAAAGCCTCGCAATTCACAATCATTTTCATAAATGTGCTGTCCTGCCTCCTCTTCACGGGAAGCTCTAGGAATAAAGGTCAAAATGTGATTTATTCCCCTTTTTGAAAACTAGCTCTTCTGATGGGTGAAATATTGGTTATTTTCAGGCAAAAATTAACCTTTCTTTTTTTTTTTCCCCCCTCCACTTCAAATTTTTTTGTCAAACCAGGAAAGCGCAACTGTGCCTTGCCTCTGCATGCTAAGTAGTACCCCAGTTACTGGAGCACTTTCTTGAGCCTAGATGTGCCCAACTTGCTCACATGCCAAAAGAGGACCTTACCCACCATCTGCACAGGTGGCTGGGACTGGAGGACACTGTGCTGGTGACCTCTCCTTCAAAGCAATATCAATGCGTTACTGACTTGCTCCCCAACTTAGATACCTCTTTACTTGAAAGTAAGTCTTAAAAACCTAAATGACTTGGCTGGTAAAGTCTTTAAACCACTCTTTTGGTGTAAGTGCTCTCTCTTACAAAGGCTTCATGGAAAATGCGTAGCTGTTGTGTGTGTGTGTGGAAATTAATGGTATCTTCGTTATCACTGGTCTTGCTGAAAAAAGCAGATGCCGACATAGGAAGGAGAGACGCTTGGGTGTTTTGTGTAACCATAACAGTGGAGCAAATAGACACTTGAGTGAGGAAAGGGAGCGGAGCTGGCTGCTGCCTTTGTCAGCCCGTGCCGGGGCTGGGGGCAGCTATCTCTTGGTGAAATTTATTAGCGGCAACACACTTGAGAGGACACAAAAGGCTTGCGAACCTCCCAGCACGGCTTGCTCTATTTAAAGTCGGCTTTTTAAATCAAAGAAATGGGGCTCTTGACAGCGGAGCTTTGTGCATCTTTTGTGAAGTTCAGATAGTGGGGCTTCTTATTACAGGCTAAATTAGCCCATTTTATTGTTTTGCGCTGAGGGATGAGGTCAGTTGACTGGGAATCTTGCTAACAAGGTTTTACTCCTGTCTGCTTTTTACAAGTGTTAACATGGGGTATCCACCGGTGCTGTGCACTTGCTGTTAATGAAACAAAGATGAATGGTCTAGCAACCCCGTGAGCTCTGCTTCTTCCCCCACCACTGAGCTGCTCAACCCATGTCAGTGTGCTTGAGCTCAGATGCTCCCTGGGGCACTCATTCCGCCAAAATTGGGTGCGTTGGTTTTCCTTCTGATTTTGCATGCTTGCACACTGCTGCTGGAACAACAAGAAAAGGATGAACTTTGGGCAGGGTGATTGATTGGGTTTGAAAAGGAAATGGGAAAATAGTAGGCATGTTGAACGATGCTTATGAAGCATGGTGAGCTCTGGAGGAGCTGTCTGCGGCTCATGCTTTTTCCTGGTGCCCTTTGCATACCAAATTTGTTCAGTAATGCACTGATTTTATCAGGTTCTTGACCCAGAGCTAGCAGGAAGCTTCCCTTGTTCATCCTTCCCGCCTCACTCAGCAGCAGCCGCTGGGCCAGCGCTGTCCTTTGGTGTGTTGAGTGAGGTTGGGGTTTCCACTATGGCCCCAAGACTTGAACCTGTGGCTCCTGGAACTTGCAGGTGATGTCCTTCCATGTACTCAAAGGTGCTGCTAAGGCCTTGAGCCATCAGACTCGGAGGATGCTCAGCTCCTGTTGTGTTGCAGGGAAGCAGGGTGGGATTGAGCCAGGATTTCTCCCCATTTCTCCCCAGCTCAGGAGCTGCCATCAGCTGAGACTAAAAGCGAACTCAGCTTTAGCAAATTCTCTTCTGCTTAACCTTTTGCACTGTGTCTAGCCAACATGCCTTGCTTTGCTTTATCTGTTCCTCAAGGAAACACAGTTACAGTCCTGGTCGCTTATAGCATGCAGACTATCAGCTCTCCTTGAGGTGTAAATCCAGCCTTATCAGGAAGAAAAAGCTTTCAGCCTTCCTTCCTTGCCTCTCAGAGACAAGTACCAAGCCTGCTTTTGTGGCTGTTTTATTTCAGCTTATCCCAACAGTGCCAGACACTCCCCATAACCCTATGGAAACTGGGGAGCTTCAACCACCTAAGTGAGAGCAGGGTGTAAATGGCTTAACTCAGATGTCAGTGAGGGGCAGGGGTGCTTGAGGTCCTGTGTGCAGAAATAGCAGCTGGAAGGATCTTCACATCATCAACTTGAAGCAAAACGCCTTGGCCAGGTTGGGCATCCTCCACTGGAGGGAGCTCCAAGGGGCAGAGCCTGTTTTGTTGCTCTGAACTGCCTTTGAAGACAGGGATGGTAATATATGGCGTGAGTAACCCCGTAACACCCCCCAGCTCCTTCAAGTCTCTCCTTCAAGTCTCTGCTCAGGGCTGGGTGATGTCCTCTAGGTCAAGTTCCCCATGCAGGTCACATTGTCAGGCCAGAGCTGGCTGGCAATGGGAAATGTTCTACCAGACAAAAAGTTGGCATTTTCTGTTTTCCCAATACTGCATCCCCATTTTTGGTGGGTACATTGAAAAAGAAAAAGCCAGAACAGTAATGACAGAACTGTTCTATAGACTTGTTAAAAAAAAAAAAAAAAAAAAGGGAAGGAGAAGACTATTTTTTCTTTCTTAAAATAGAAAATTGAAAACCACTTTGCAGACATTTCTGTTAATTTTGTAAAGGTTATTCACAGGAAACAATGACTAATAAGCTCAAACTAATGCTCAATTTTAGGGTAACTCGCATAGCATGCGAGAGGTGCCCAGACGTTACGGTGAGCTGCTGCGGAGATGCATGCGATAACTTGGAAACCAAGGAAGGAAACCCCAGGCAGCCGTAAGCTGCCCCTGCCCCTCGGAGCTGAGTAGGATGCAGCCAGGTCCGCATGGTCCTTGCAACCTTTTTTTCCTGGTGGATCTCTGCCAAAAATGTAAACAACCCTTTTTTTGGTGAAGTCAGTGGTATGTGTTCGTGGCAGGCTGAGCTCCCCATGGACCCAGCGGCACCCGCAGCTGGACTATGTGCAGCTTGCATGCACGAAGGCAGATTTGGCCCATAATTTCAAAAATATCCTTTGGTTTTCCACGGGGCTGTTTGCCGGTCTGGCCAGACTCTGTTCAGAGCTTCTGGTTCCTATTACAGACCCAAGTTATCCTCCCAGTTTTGCTGTAATGCTCCTTTTTCCCCTGATGCCTTAGCCATGGTTTTCTATTATTAAAAAAGACTTTTTTCCCCTAATTAGAGTATCAGCTCTAATAATCCAAGTAGTAAAGTCTTGTCTTATGTAACTGTCTACTGAATACGCTGGTGTTTTGGCGTTACGGTGAAGCAGTGTGGTGGTTCTTTAGGAAACTAAAGAGTGATTTCTGCTCTGACGTTTGGGCTGTGGCTGTGTTGTGCTTCGTTTGCTATATAGTGAGTGGTCTGTCAAGCAGCCTCAGTGCCTAATGAGCTTGCTCTGCACCTGGTTTTCAATAAGCCATTGCAACCCCCCTCCCTCTTTTCTCTTTTTCTGATTATCAGATGCATTTCTAATCTCTTTCTATGTCTGTTAGTGCGTGGAAAATTGAGGTGAGGCAAGATGTAGAAAATGGGAGTGACGTCTTTTATGAGACCAACTGATGGGGTGGGAGAAGCAGAGAAGTTTTGAGGCCAATAAACAGCTTTTTGGGCTGGGCAGGGCAACTCCGGAGCCCTGCAGAGCTGCACAGGACCAGGCAGGAAAGGAGTTTTTTTTTTTCTTGTCCACAGGACACTGCTGATTTGGGGTGTGTAGAGCCCTTTCATTTTTACCACACCCACCTTGTCTGGGGCTGTCAGCAGTGTGGTAGGCGTGGGGGTGACCTCTCCACAGATATGGTTATCTTTTAGGAAGGTGCATTTTGGACCAGGCTTGAAGCACAGTGGCTTAGAATCATAGAATCGTTTAGGTTGGAAAAGACCTTTAAAATCATCCAGTCCAACCATTAACCTAATGCTACCAAGTCCACCACTAAACCAGTTAAGAGTAGAGTAAAAATTAGTTTCATGTTTCCTGGCTTGGTGGCTGGATTATTTTTGAATGAAAGTAAAAACTAGGAATCATTAAGGTTGGAAAAGATCTCTAAGGTCATCAGTCCAACCGTCAACCCAACACCACTATGCCTACTAAGCCATGTCCCAAAGTGCCACGTCTACCTGTTTTTTGAACACCTCCGGGGATGGTGACTCCCCCACCACTCTGGGCAGCCTGTTCCAGTGCTTGACCACTCTTTCAGTAAAGAAATTTCTCCTAACATCTAACGTAAACCTCCCCTGATGCAAGTTGATGCTTCACACCTCATGGAGCAGCCCAAGATAAGCAGCTGCTTGAACCGGCCCTGGACACGGAGGGTTTTTGCCTGGCTCGTCTCAGGCGATGTGCCCATGTCAAGGAGGTGGCCATGCCAAGTGTTTTGCTTTTCATTTCTTGGTGGTGTTTATCCCCTTGACTACAGTATCGGGCCGGTGGCTCCACATGTACCATCTGTCCCTCTGACACTGTCTTTCCTTCCCCACAGGGCGACATCCAGCAGCTCCTGATTGTGGCGGACCCCCGAGCAGCCCACGATTACTGCGAACACTACAGCCCCGACTGCGACACTGCCATCCCTGACTCCCCCCAGTCCCAGGACCCCAACCAGGATGAATACGTAAGTCTCTTGCGGGGTTAGGGGCAGCAGCATCCAGCTCCATATTGCACTTGCAAACACACTTGGCTTCTTCCTCCCATACAGCTTCCCTGTGACTCATCTGTCAGGGCTGAGACAGAGCTTGTTTTTAGGATTTGCAGGTTCTGATCTTGGCTTTTGTCTTCAGGAGTCTCCCCTACCTTTCTGCACTCCTCCTATTTCCAGACACCGAAATGAATATTTGCTTGGAGCAAAAAAACTTGCAGGAGAGACAACCTGAGCCGAGTGTGGAATACTGACCTTCCCTGGCAGGTCAAATCCTGTCCAAAACAGGCACCTGTTTCTAAATTTCCAACTTTACTGTTGAACTTGTAAAAGACTAAGCAGTCTTTTTTCAATGTTCTTTGAAACAACAGGTGTTAAAGGAGGGGGAAACACTTTTTGCCTGTGTATTTGATATTTGAATTTCATTTTGGCAGAAATGCTCCTAGCTCAACTGTATAAGCTGTGCTGCTCAGCATTTTTTCTACAAAGAGTTAGCCTCAGATGTTTTCTTTAGAGAAGAAGAAGAAAAAAAAAGACTGATACAGGATACCTTTTCATTTCTGTTGCTCAATTAGAAATGTCTGGGTGTGGCTGATTTCCAGAAGAGCATCACCTGATTTTTACACATTTTTAAGAGGTCTCAGGCTCAGCTTACAGCAATTAGTGTCCAGCATCCTCAGCTGCTTCTTAGCATCTTGGCTGCTCTCTTGGTCTGATTTGCTGGTCCATGCACTCTCTTGCTTTCAGCTGGTCTCAGGTCTGTGGGCTCCTGCTTTTAAAGCTGTAATGACATCAGCCTGCTCCAGCTTACCTTTAGGATTGAATTAAAAACCTGAGCCTAGCAGGGCTTTGGGGAGCAAAGCGATGCTCACAGGCGAGGCACGGCCGCCCAGCTCTTGGGAAGTGCCGTAACCGCTCCGCCAGCGCTTCTGGAGAAACAATAAATAAGTAAAATAAAATAGACTTCGGTATGGTCAAAATACGTGGTAGTAGGAAAATAAAACTTCTTTTGGAGCCAGCAGTTCAACAAGGGCTGGCTTGTCTTAGGGCTGTGTTGCTCCATGTAAGAATAACTCTTCCACGCGCCGGCGTCTGCTGCCAGTGAGAGCGATGGACTGGCGAAGAAATTTGCCATGCCCGGCTGTAACCAAATGTTTTGCTTGTATTTCATTTTGAAGAATGACTGACGCCTTGTGGAAAACGCTGAAAATATCTTGTTTTCAAAGCCCTTCTGCCTGCAGGCCGCGGGTGGATGGCAAGTCACACGGTTGCTATTAGTGCAGTCAGATGAGTGAAAATAGCATCCTACTTCTCAGAGCAGCTGCGCGATTCAAGTGTTTTCTTTCCCTCTCTGAATATGTCAGAAGCGTGGCCTGGGAGGTCTCAACAAACTCGGGTTAAAAAAAAAAAAAAAGGTTTTTCTTCTTTTATTGTGCGTTATTGTGGGTGACTGAATTGCTGCAGGGTAGGCCCGTCCTCTCCGATAAGGGAGAATGTGCCACAGAACCAAAAGATGATTGTGAACCTCCTCAACTCAGCCATTGCCAAAGCAACCCAGTGCCAAGCTGGTGAAGGTTTCACAGGAGCAGATGAACAAGAGGGAGGGAAAGATTTCACTGCATGGCCCCGCATCATGTCATGGCCCCGTTGACATGAAATAATGTCTAAAAGAGCTGGCAGGAACATGCTTGGGCGCTGTCAGCTTATTTTGTGCTTATCTTCTCTTTGCAGTACACCGATGGGGAGGGAGAAGGTGACACCTACTACTACGAGTACCCCTACTACGAAGATGTTGATGAAACTGTAAAGCCAGAAGCACCCACCACCAAACCCAGCACTCCCGAGGTGGCTGCTGGAGAGAGACCTGAAACCAAGCAGGTACTGGCGTGGGGTCCTGGCAAAGATGCGTTTGATAAAGGGCACCTTTGTAGAGGGGGAGGTGGAGTATTTTCTTTTTGTTTTTCTGATTCTGGCATTTTGTTTCTGCAATAGGACTATCCTTCCCCTACGCCATTACCTGATGGAGGGGACCCCGGGAAGTGGACGAAAGGGGATGCTGTGGTGGATGACCCTCTCGTGGATGAGTACAATTATGAAACCATTAACGAAGAGTACTTCACGCCTCTCCCCTATGAAGATGTCAACTACAATGAAGAAGTAGACACCCAGGGAGGACTCACTGAAAATGCCGTGGAAGCTGAACTCCCCACGAGTACCGTCATCACCTACAATGAGACCGATGTAATTTTAATGAATGTTTCTTCCTTTCACTTTGTTTTTTATTAATTCTGGTATTTCATAGCCCTGAGAGCAAAGGAGATGTAATCATCCATATGGTAAATCTGTAAGTGGTTTGGGCAGCTGTTGGAAGAGGAAGTTTCTTGTAAAATATTTTCACTCCAGATATTTCAGGGTGTGGAACACAGATACTTAGAGTTTGGTTAAGGATTATTCCCCTGGAAAAATCTGTTCATATTGATATCTGCATTTCCCTGTGTGACATTTCCTCGCTTGTGTGACAAAAAGAAAAGCGAGGGTTGGTGTTAAAATCTAAGTAAAAGCATTTCATTTTAAAGCTATTAATATAAATACTTAAAATATTGATTTGATGGAGAAAGTCGATATTTTTCACTTTGTCATTCCCACTGAATAGTATCTTTATGTTTTTAGGATTGTAATTTGGGGGAAAAAAAACCCAACCAAAACATTTCAACACTGGGACAAACCCTTGATTTCAAACTACTGCATTCACCCAGAGAGAGCCCCTCTGTTTTGTGCACAGATCTGCTCAAAGATGAGATCAGTCCAGATCCCACAGCTGATGTTTCTGTTGGAGCAATTACATTTTTAGTTACCCAGACTTTCATATGCTTCAACTGAAATATGTTGCACTTGAGACTCTTCTAAAGAGTTGCTCAGTTCTTGCCTTTTTGTATTGGTGCTCAAATACAGGAATGTTGGTCTCATCCTTAGATGAGACTGAGATAAATTGTCATGCAGCTGCGTGCTGTACAGCTCACGATGCAAGGAAATAACTATGCTAGATGAGGCAAATTCTCCATTATCCAGGAGCATCAGCAAGGGAGTCGATAATGGGATAACATTTCCTGGGAGGTAGGATGGAACTTGGCAGAGTTTTGTGGTTCCTCCTCAAATGGAGAATTTCTTAGCTATGGGACTGTCAAAACTCAAGGCTTTCTGGGAGGCGCTGGAGGGTGGCAAAAGAGACAGCAAAAGTTGGCCAACATATTTGGAACTGGACCTGGAAGCTTGAATGAAAAGGTGTCAGGGAAAGTGTCCAAGCAAAGAGTTGAGCAGCTGCAGCAAGGCAGGAGGAGAGCCAGCCGCCCTGAGGGCTGGTGGCACGGTGGGGATTGAGTCCAGCCAACTGGGGATAAAAAAAAAAATGTAGTGGAGGAGGAGGGTGTGCAGCCCAAAATGATACACAGAGAGAAACAGAAAAGGCTCCAGCGTATCGAGGAAGCGAGTGCCAACCTGAGGGAACCCATGGATAGGAAACTTTTCTGTTTCCTGACAAAGAGCCAAAAATCTTTGGCCAAGCTTGAACTTTCTAATAGAGAGGAATTAAAGATTGGATAGCATGACCTTAAAAGAAATTGGAGGAGGAAATAAGAGACTCAAGGGCCACTTTAGTTGTTAGGAAAAGGAAATAGAAGAGAAGGAAAGTTCAGGTAAGGAAACACATGGTGAAGCTTTCCTATGTGAAAGCTCAGCCTGCTCTCAGCAAGCATCTCGTGGGGAGAGCGAGCAAACTGGCCACCTCCAGCAGCTCCAAAGAGACTGCGTTTGGGTGGGGAGGGCTGTAGGACTGCTCCTGGTGTGGGAGGTTGCTCCAGTCGATCTTTTAGCTGATGAGCAGAGAAAAAGACACAACTTGTCTGGCTGAAGGAGATTCCCATGCACTGAGGCAAAGGCTAACGCAGTGTCACATAGAGAAGACTCCCCAAAAGTGCCAGCCTGAGGGACAAATACCCAAGAGGATATGGATTTCAGGTTTACACCTCAGAGTGGGAGCTAAGGGCACTGCCTGCAGCCATGAACTCCTGGGGAAAACGAATCCTTTAATCCAGCAGCAGACCAAGCTGCTTTATGAGCAATATGGAAGCGAGGATCAGGAGCTTGTGCGTGTAATTGCCTGCCTAATAACTGTTATTAGAAAACGCG